TATAGTTGATCTATATTTTGTAACAAAATACATCATGATGCCGAATAATTAATTGTATAACTGAATACGATTCCTATTAAAATATTTTAGCTTTTGGTTAATGAACTAAAAATGGAATTTCTCTGAACTGAAATTCATCATCGTCCTTCTTTCAATATGTACGCCACGGCTATAATCACCACATTAAAGTGATTTACTGCGTTACCCGGACCATTCGTGGCAATTTTTCGTAGGTGGCATAAGGGCAATATATCAAAATTATTGAAAGCAACATATGAGTTTATATTTTAAAAGAAAATGTTTCAGTTATCTTCGGAACAAAAGTTTCTTTTAGATGTATTAATTTGTGTCAATTTATATTCGAAGTTCGCTGGTCTTGCCCTTGTGTTGCTTCTCAGTGTGACGTTAATAGATGATCACAATAACAAAAAGACATTAATTACAAGTTGAGGCTCATCAGTCAAACAATATTTTAGAAATGACCATAATAGCAGTTGTAGAGTAATCGGTCTGTGAATCGTCATTGTCTTTCTTGGTGCCTTAGGCAATGTGAAACGAATTCCCTATCGGGTCAGTTATCATGTGCTTTTTAACTTATGTTATCATTGTTGCAGATAAACGCTGATAGTGCTATTACGAGTTAAAGATGAAAATTAGGAGTCCTTAACCAAAATAAAAAGAGGGTCGCATCCGAGAGCTCGGAGAAGTAAGTAAAATTGATAAATTTTGAATGAAGTTTAATTAAATTTCGCATTTCCTTCCCTTGAAGATGCATATAGTAAACTGCGATGTTGTCAATGTTGCATATGTGATTAAGAACACCAGATGAATGTTGAAGGTTTTCTGGATTAGCAAAAGTATGAATGTGTGTGTGCGTAGGAATAGGGAGCGTATCATAAAGACGGAAAGATCCAGAAATTAGGTACTATGGGTGATGATCAAGTGCATCTCGAAGTGGTTGTTTTCGATATTAACTTTAGATTTTTTTTAAAAATTCAGTCACGAAGGATATGTTTAGTATACTTATAGCCTATATCTTAAACAAAACGTATGACTCCTGTGGCATCTGAGGGATCGAAACCTTTTTTAAAGAAGGCTTTGTTTTGCCATGTCAACAAATTAGCCGATTTATGCCGACTTTTCGAAAATAATGCTGAAAAGCTTTAACTTGAGTATTTCAATTGGTTCAATTCGCAAATATATACAGTGGCACAAACAATTGAGGATACACCTTACTTTTACTTGATAAATCCAACTTTCAATCAAAATAACACCTTAACCAGAAGTGCAAACGAATTTTTATTCTTAGACATAACAAAAGGTTTAATTAACAGTAAAAATAAAGAAAAATCAACGACAAAATTCTAAAATAAAACTTTTTAGAGGCATTTCAAATAAACATAAGCAGATTTTTACCTCAAAAAATTGAGGATACACAAATGAAATTTTTGTTTAACTACTAATTTTTGATTTCTTTTTGCTTGCTACTAATAATCTAAGTTTGGGAAATTTTATCCTAAACTTTTTCAACTGTTATTTCTGTCTTTTGAAGTTGGTTATGAGAATATAAAGCTGTAATTTTAAATGGAAAATGGCTCCTCAGAAAGAGACTAGTATTGATGTAAGAAAATTTATATTAAGGTTATTTAAGAAGGGGAAAATCTTATCGTGAAATAGCTGAAATTGTCGGTAGAAGTCACTCATGTGTCCAGAAAATCATTGGAAAATTTAAACGCGATGGATTAATTCAAAATAAGAGTGGAAGAGGAAGGAAAAGTATTCTGAGTGATGTAGCTAAAAGGAAAATTTTAAAAGATATCAAGATTAATCCTAAACTGAGTGTAGTCAAACTAGCTGCAGAAACTTCTCGAATAATCTGCAGAAGTGTAAGTGCTGAAACTGTGAGAAATGTGATTAGACATGCTGGATATAGCAGTCGAGTAGCTAGAAAGAAACCTTTCATAAGCTTACAAAATCAGAAAAAGCGTTTGGAGTTTGCAAAAACTCATCAGTTGAAGACAGAAAACTTTTGGAAGAAAGTTATATTTAGTGATGAAAGTAAATTCAACATTTTTGGAAGCGATGGTCGTCACACCGTTTGGAGAAAGCCGAACACCGCTTTGGATCCAAAAAATTTACGTCCTACAGTTAAACATGGTGGTGGCTCCGTCATGGTTTGGGGTTGTATGGCTGCAAATGGGGTAGGAAATTTAGTTTTTATAGATGGTATAATGGATCATAAGCTTTATATAGACATACTCCGCAACAATCTTAAAGAAAGTGCACAAAAATTGGGTTTAGATGGAAATTTTATATTTCAGCACGACAACGACCCCAAACACACGGCACGTAATGTCAAAATGTGGTGTCTTTTTCATTGTAAACAGCAATTGCACACACCGCCTCAGTCCCCTGACATCAATGTCATAGAAAATTTGTGGGCCACACTAGAAACAGCGGTCCAAAAACACCAGATTAGAAACAAAGCCCATTTAAAGCAAGCGTTACAAGAAGAATGGGATAAAATATCTCCAGATACCACTAAAAAATTGGTCGAATCGGTACCACGACATTTGGAGGACATTATAAAAGCCAAAGGACATGCAACAAAATACTGATACTGTCTATGCATGTAATATATCGAAAAAGTTTCATTGGTGTATCCTTAATTTTTTGAGGTAAATATCTGCCTATGTTTTATGCCTATGCTATGTATGGTCCGGAACTCAAGGGGGGCCTTTTCTTCCCGAAAAATAAGAATTTCAAAAAAAGTGAAAAAAAACATCAAAGTCCCCGAAATGGGGTGCCTATCGATGCGAAAATAAGTCCCGCAAAGGGCGAAATTTTTTCAAAGTCCAAAAAGTGGTGAAAAAGTTTCAAAGTCCCGAAAAATTTCAAAAGTCTCAAATATTTTCAAAGTCCTTAAATCTTTTGTTAATGTATAAATCCTTTGTCTAGACGAAAGTCCCCCCCCCCCAAGTTCCAAAAAATTTCAAAGTCCTTACATCCTTTACGAAATAAATCCTTTGTGGAGGCAAAAGTTTTTTCCAAGTCCAAAAAATTTTCTAAGTCCTTACATCCGTTGGACTTTGCCAAAAAAGGGTCGAAAATGAACCGGAAGTAGGCTTAGAGAGATGCCGTCCAAAGTGCAACGTCACCTTACGGCGACTCAAGTTTACTACTCGACGTGGTAGGCTTAGCCGCCTGAAACATGCCGCAGTCACCGTCGAGGGGGGGAGTTGTCCGTCTCCTTTCGCAACTCCATTTCCCTATATAGGGAACACCTCTCTCTCGAGTAGTCCAAAACGCGATTTCGTGTTTTGTGTTCAATCGTCGAGTGGAGGGTGTGCGTTGCGAGTGGGATCGCTTTTAACCCTTTTTAGGTTTTAGTTTGGCATTTTTAAGCGATTTCGATGCACTTTGGCTCCTGGCAGGCGGGACGCGGAGATTCGTCTCCGGATCGGTCCCAGACCAGTCGGTCGTCCGAAGGGGCTCTCGGACGATGTGTCGGGGGAGTGTCGGGTGTGGGTCGGACTCACGCGACGCTCCCCATCCAGGGGGGAGTGTCGGGTGTGGGTCGGACCCACGGGAGGCGGAGGATCGCCGGCGCTCTCCGTAACTCACCCGGGGACGCGCTGCGGTCGTCTGAAGACAGCGGGTTGGCCGGCGGCCATTAAAGCACCTGCCGAAGACGTCCGGGGCCCTTTCCACAGCACACGTGGTCCGAAGACGGCGGGTCGGTCGCTCTGACCGTAAAACGAACTTGCCCAGGACCGCGCGGCTCTCGCGGCCGCGTCGGTTCCCCTCTCGTTGGGTTCCGGTCCCGATACGGCGGGTCGATTCCTAACGGACGTAAAGGAACCTGCCTAGGACAACGCGGCTCGATCCGCGTCGGGTCCCGGTTCGCGGGGGCTCGTCTCTCTCTCCGTCCAGCGGGTCGGCGTGGATGCACGCCGTTAAAGGAACCCGACTGTCGATGGTGCGGACTCGTCCGCGTCGGGTCCCCGTTCGCGGGGGCTCTTTCCAACCCGTCTCTGCCCTGGCGGCCGCCGCCACGATCGAAGTGTCGTGGTCGGACGCGCCGTGTGTGTCGATCGAGTCGTTTAGAAGGGGGCGGTTAGTCACTAACCGCCCATCTCGATACCGTACGAACGACTTCCCCTTCGGGAAACGCCCGGGATTGTACCACTGCGGAAAATCCCGAAACGAGAAAGAAACACGGATCAAATCGGAGAGAGAAGCGTTACCTCTTAAAAAAATTCCGGCGTCTCTGGAAATAAGACGAGGAAGAGATTCCTCGCAGTTTTTAGATTTGAAAGATAACTGGTTGATCCTGCCAGTAGTCATATGCTTGTCTCAAAGATTAAGCCATGCACGTGTAAGTACAAGCGATACCAGAAAGCGAAACTGCAAAAGGCTCATTAGATAAGTTACGGTCTCCTTGGCGGTTGAGATTACTTGGATAACTGTGATAATCCTAGAGCTAATACATGCACTGGAGCTCCGATCCCGCGAGGGAGACGAGAGCTTTTATTAGACCAAGACCAGCCGGCGTTCGCGCGGCAGCGATTGGTGACTCTGTATAACCTAGGGCGGATCGCACGGGCTCGTCCCGGCGACGCGTCTTTCGAGTGTCTGCCTTATCAACTGTCGATGGTAGGTCATGCGCTTACCATGGTCGTGACGGGGAATCAGGGTTCGATTCCGGAGAGGGAGCTTGAGAAACGGCTACCTCATCCAAGGAAGGCAGCAGGCACGCAAATTACCCACTCCCGGCTCGGCGAGGTAGTGACGAAAAAGAACGATACGGGACTCTTTCGAGACCCCGTAATTGGAATGATCGCTATGTAAAAAGTGTTCGAAAGGAACGATTGGAGGGCAAGTCTGGTGTCAGCAGCTGCAATAACTCCAGCTCCGATAGCGTAAGCTAAATTTGTTGCGGATGAAAAGCTCGTAGTCGGATCTCAGCCCGGGACGGTGGGGAGCGTCAGACTTGGAGAATCGGAGGTATTGATCAATAGGAACAGACGGGGTCATTCGTACTGAGACGCTAGAGGTGAAATTCTTGGACCGTCGCAGGACGAACTACTGCGAAAGCATTTGCCAAGAATGTTTTCATTGATCAAGAACGAAAGTCAGAGGTTCGAAGGCGATACATACTGCTGTAGTTGTGACCGAAAACTATGCCAGCCAGCGATCCGGTGATGTTTGAGAAAGGACACGCCGGGCAGCTTCCGTGAAACCAGAGCCTTCTGGGTTCCGGGGAAAGTATGGTTGCAAAACTGAAACTTAAAGGAATTGATGAAAGGGTATTACCAGGGATAGATTCTGCTGCTCAATTTGATTCAACACGGGAAAACTCAACCGGTCCGGACACGGCAAGGATTGACAGATTAATGGCTCTTTCTTGATTCCGTGGGTGGTGGTGCATGGTCGTTTTTAGTTCGTGGGCATGACCTGTCTGGTTAATTCCAATAACGAGCGAGACTCTTGCCTGCTAAATAGGCTATTCCGTGATGTTTCACAGAAAGATAGTCTTCTTAGAGGAACAAGCGGTTTCGAGCCACACGAAAAAGAGCAAAAACAGGTCAGTGATGTCCGGGGCCGCACGCGCAATACGATGAAGGCGGCAGCGTGTGCTTTTTTTCCCTGGCCAAGAGGTCCGGGCAACCCGATGAAACGCCTTTGTGCTGGGGACTGTAACTGGCCCCTTGAACAAGGAATCCCTAGTTGGCTCGAGTCATTAACTCGTGCCGACTAAGTCCCTGCTCTTTTTACATATTGCCCATCGTTAATACCTATTGAGTGGTTCGGTGAGGTCTTCGAACCTGCGCCTGCGTTCCTTAATGGACACGAGGTGTCGGAAAGATGATCGAACTCGATCACTTAGAGGAATTACAAGTCGTAATAAGATTTCCGTAGGTGAACCTGCGGAAGGATCATTGCTTGAATATGCTTGTCTCCGGGGCCCGGGGTCTGCCCCGACGAGTTTCTTTGCTCGTCCCCCACCCTTCTCCCTGACGAGGTTTTCATGGCGCATTACGTTCCGTGCGTCTTTAGAGCGCACCGTACCTCCGATTAAGGGTTTAAGCTGGAATCGGAGGCGGAACGAGAGAGAGTGCCTCGAACCGAATCGAGGGTGGTTTCGAAAGACTCCACGTTGAGCGGAGCTCGCTCCGCGGGCGGAGGTGTTGGCTGCTCCGCCCCAGACGAGGCGAAGACCGAGTGGTGATGCATAGAAATGAGGCTCGAGAGAATGGTCCTGGGGTGGCTCCTTCGTGGCTCGGAGACCGGAGAAGTCTCTCCTGTGGAGGAGGTGGCGACCGATCTCGATGGTGCGGTTTGGCGGTGCTTCGAGAGGCGGAAATTATTATCGAGAGAGTTTATAAGTCGATAAAGAGTCTCGGGGTTCGGGCTCGGGAGGGTGAGGTGTCGGTGATCCATGTTTGCCTTGGTCGTCCGGTGCTTGGCTCGTTCGGTTCGTCTCTTCGGGGTCTAGCTAGCACCTAGCGTGCGCGGGAAGTCCGCTCGATCGGGGCATTTTCCTCAGAGGGTGTGAGGCTCGTCCTCGCGCGCCGTGGTTCTCTCTCGGTTCGCCCGCGAGTCGGGTTGCTTGGGAGTGCAGCCCTAAAATGGGTGGTAAGCTCCACCCAAGGCTAAATACGACCGTGAGACCGATACCAAACAAGTACCGTGAGGGAAAGTTGAAAAGAACTTTGAAGAGAGAGTTCAATAGAACGTGAAACTGCTCAGAGGGAAACGGGTGGGCCCTCGAAGTCCAGTGTCGGGGGCGTTCAGCCCTGGTGTCATCCGCCTCCGCCGTAGCGAGTGACGTCGGTGGAGCCTGAGCACTCACGTTGGGACCCGAAAGATGGTGAACTATGCCTAGACAGGGGAAACCTTGTTGGAAGTCCGAAGCGGTTCTGACGTGCAAATCGATCGTCTGATCCGTATATAGGGGCGAAAGACTAATCAAATAATCTAGTAGCTGGTTCCCTCCGAAGTTTCCCTCAGGATAGCTGGTGCTCGATCGAAATTCAATCACGATTGGTAAAGCGAATGATTAGAGGCCTTGGGGCCGAAGCGACCTCAACCTATTCTCATACTTTCAATGGTCGTAGAGTTCTCCTTTCTCGACTTTAAGGTTGGACGGTGGATGAGAGCCTAGAGGGCCATTTTTGGTAAGCAAAACTGGCGCTGTGGGATGAACCAAACGCCGGGTTAAGGCGCCCGATGCAGAGACGCTCATGAGACCCCATAAAAGGTGTTGGTTGCTCCAGACAGCAAGACTGTGGCCATGGAAGTCGACATCCGCTAAGGAGTGTGTAACAACTCCACTGTCAAAGCAACTAGCCCTGAAAATGGATGGCGCTCCAGCGTCGAGCCCATACCCGGTCGGCGCGGTAAATGATTTTTTTTATTACCGCGCTGAGTAGGAGGGTCGCGGCGGTGGAAGGGCGTGGCGCAAGCCTGCCTGGAGACCCCGCCAGTGCAGATCTTGGTGGTAGTTGCAAATGCTTAAGTGAGAACCTTGAGGACTGAAGTTGGAGAAGGGTTCCATGTCAACAGCGTTTGCGCATGGGTGAGTCGGTCCTTAGCCAACGGAGAGATCCGTGCTAGGCGAGACTTTACGAGTCACGCTATAGACGAAAGGTTATCGGGTTAAGATTCCCGAACCCGGACACGAAATAAATGAAACTTTGGTCTCTGGTGCGGTAACGCAAACGAACTCAGAGACGCCCGTGAAGGCACCAGGGAAGAGATTGTTTCTTTTCTTCGTAAGAGGTGCGAAGTCCCGTTCGTCGGGCTTTGTCTCCGAAGCCCTGTTTGCATACCGTTCGAACTGGGACTCGTTCCTGGACTGATATGTGCCTGCGGGGTGGAAATACGCAGTTTTTGTGCCGGACCTCTTTCTTAGGGAGCCGATACTTGACGACGGACGTTATGGGGCCGACTCAGAACTGGCACGGTCCCTGGGAATCCGACTGTCTAATTAAAACAGAGCATTGCGATGGTCTGTGAGAGATGTTGACGCAATGCGGTTTCTGCCCAGTGCTCTGAATGTCAAAGTGAAGAAATTCAATGAAGCTCGGATAAACGGCGGGAGTAACCATGACTCTTTTTTTTAAGGTAACCAAATGCTTCGTCATCTAATTAGTGATGTGCATGAAGTGATTAACGAGATTCCCAACTCGGGACTCCGGTCTAGAGATATGGAAAGAGAGATGGCATTCAAACTCCAAAGGTAGGCTCACGCACCAGATCCTGCCCAACCCGGTGTTACATCTCCGAGTCAGCGACAAGTTGATTGTTCAGTTAGTGACGGGCCGTGGCAGGTTTCCCTCATACCTCCAGAGGTTCGGAATCGAGGGGAAAGGTAGCTGGGAGTGTGGCGGAGACGAAATGTGCTTCACGGATTGTCCACGAACCAGGAGGTTGTCCTCTCAGCTAGACACAGAGCATGGGTTAGCCTCGTTGCTCAAGCCCAAAAACTTAGGTATCCTTCGGGATATTATGAAGTGAGTTGACTTCGGCCAACTCAAATAAGTGAAGTTCGCACCTCGGTGCGATAATTCTGTGATAGGGTGCGTTCCTTATTAGGTTCCTAATTTTGGAGCCGAAGAAGCCTTTTCGGTGATCTGAGCAGTTCTGAAGCAGACCCGACTGTGTCTCCCCCGTGCTCTGTATCCTGAGCCTCCTAGTTCGAATGAGGTGTGATGCGGTGGTGCCGAAACGTCCGTAGACGACTCACCTACTGGTCGGGGTGTCGTAAGTGCGAGAGCAGCCACCTTACTGCGATCCACTGAAACTCGTCCCTCGATCGGCAGGTTCGTCCACTGGGTTCTCTTTATTGGGGGCTGACAGGGCGGCCGGCTTCATTTTTTTAAAGTTTTTTTAAATCCTTTGTTTCGATTCAGATCCTTTGTGCGTATTAAAGTCCCAGAGGTTAGGTTTGGACTTTGAAAAAAATTCCACTTCGGTAGTTGTCTTAGATCAGAAGAATCTCGGAGGTTACGTTTCAGACTTAGAAGAAACAGGAGTTGGAAGGGATCCCGAGGGAGGAGGTTAGTATCGAAATGAATCCCAGAGGTTATATTTTGGATTTTGAAAAAAATCCCCCGCTTGCCAGTTGTTTTAGATCAGGTTAGATTTGGACTTTGAAGAAAAAAAAACGCGACTCCGTTTGCAAATTGCCAAGTCCCCAGAGGCGGTTCTGACTCAGTGTGGACTTGGAAAAAAATCAGCCCCGAACCAGGGTCGAAGAGCACTTCCGGTCGACGAGACTCCGGAAAGGTGGATTCGATATAATTTAAATTGAAATGTAATCCATTTTTATTTAAAACATAACTAAAGTAAGAGTCGTCGGTTCCAATCTTTGGGACCGGCGGCTCTTTTTTTTATGCCCCTCAGATCAGGAATCTTTTTGAATAATATGTATCTCAGGTGTGAGGAACCATCCAAAAAAATTAAGAAAAGATATTCCACTAGGTGTTCTTAAAAGAGACACGACACGACAGGTGAGGCGGAATCTTTTTTGATAATAATATCTCAGGTGATTTCATCTTTGAAAAATAAATAAATAAATAAATAAAAGTCCAATTTCAAATGGATACCACGTGAATAGAAACTTGCTCAAACTAACGAAGACTCCAGGTAACAACAGGAATCCACAACAATGAATTAAATTTCAAAATAATAATAAGATGAATAAGAGTCGTCGGTCCCAAAGATTGGGACTGGCGGCTCTTTTTCTTATGCCCCTTAGATCGGGTATCGTGCGGAATCTTGTGACGCCCGCCCGACCCGGGCGTCCTCTTGTGCCATCACTAGATTCAATTATTAAACACTACGACACAAATAATTACAGAATCACCAAAACAATTCTTCAACAAATTTATTAGTATATATTTACTATGACAGAAATGGCTATGCTCTCCAGGGTAAGCTTTCTAATACCTTAGTACAACCCACCAATAGTAATCTAATAGACTCTTACCACTAATCTTTAATCGACTGCATCTCAGACTCTGGAACAACTGTTGAAAACACCAGGCAATATCCTTCTACAGCAATCTTTGCTATTGTAAACTTTAATTCCTCCTTTCTCTTATCTAACACTTCAGCTTCACCTCACCTCACCTCACCTCACCTACAGCTTCTCTCTCAGATCCTCCTTCAGATACTCTACTCCTTCCGTCGGAGTTTATATAATTCTCAATTCAACCGCTTCATTGCATTCCTAACTGCTTTACATACTAACTTTACGTATCACGTTTCATTTTTGGTTGGGCAAAGGTTGTTTAGCGAAAGCAATCAATCTCAATTAAAAGTCCCCAAGGTTAGTGAAGAGAAACCGCGAATAGTCCAATGTCACAATCTTTTTCAATAATATTAATAATAATACTAATAATAAATATCTCAGGTGTGAGGAACCATCTTAAAAAAAAGTGACGACAGAAATTCCACTAAGTGTTCTTAAAATAAGAGAGACAATAAGAGTCGTCGGTTCCAATCTTTGGGACCGGCGACTTTTTTTATTTATGCCCCTTAGATCGGATATCGTGCGGAATCTTTTTCAATAATAATAATAATAATAATAAAAAGGTGAGGAACAATTTTTTAAAAAAAAAAAAAAAAGGTGAAACTCGAGGTGACGAGAGAAGTTATTCGGAATCTACAACCATTCGATCCCCCTCACGATAAAATCCTTTTGCATACATGTTCTCGAAAGGGACTTTTATTTTCTTTACGCCGAGTGAATTGCACAGAGAGGTAATAAAGTTCTCTCCCTCACTTCTTCTTCTTTATTTATTTTTTTATGCCCCCCCGGATGAGGCGAGATCTCTTTTAATAATAATATATATCAGATGACTGTATTAACTACAATGTGTCTCTGAAGAAAAAAAAATCCCATTTAAAACGGATAGAGACTTCCTCGAAATGACTCCCGGTGACAAGAGAAGCAGGTCGGAGTGATTTCCACTAGAGAGGAGATGTCTCGGAAAATATATATACATCGATACGAGTATATCTTAGTAAAACTTTTTTTAAATGCCCCCCAGCGAGGCGGGGTGAGGCCCACTCCGAAACGAGTCCAAAATCCATTTCTAAAAGACGGATTCCCCCCTCGAGGAAAGAACAGAAATATTAAAAACATTCTTATCCGCTCGCGCGACACTTCGTTTTCTGATCCACTCCCATTGGAACAGTGAACTCCCGTTTGGCCAGCCTCCGTTGCTTTTAAAATTCCCCCACGGGAAAGGAAAGGAAAAATTCGATGAGATTCCTCGCATCTATAATAAAAATAAAAAAAATTCTTATCAATTATTCGTTCAATCGTACCATTCGAAGTAAAAGAGTTGAAAGTTCTTAATTTTTTATTTATGCCTACCGGTGAGGCTTTTTTTTTAATAATAAGTACCTGACTCGTAGGGGGGGAAATACCTTCTCCTCCTCGTCGAATGTTTTGAAAGGAATTCGTCGTCTCCCGAAGAGAGGTGCCGCGAACCCGGGATACCCTATCGGAGTTGACGGGGAAGAAAAGACAGACAGAATGCTTTTAAATGAGAATTTCTACTCGAATCCAGCCCTTCTCACTGGACTAGATTATGCTATTCTATTCTAGAGAGAGTCGAAGTAGTGTGGGACACTTTTTTTAAGTCCTATTTTAAATAGCTTTTTAAAATTTCCCCAAGGAACGAAAGGTATTTAACAAATGAAAGAGTTATAGTAAGAAGAAAAAAAACCTTCTCTTTTATTCGATTCGAACGCGTGCCTTTTTTTTCCCCTTTATTATTACCATCGGATTGTCTCGAGTATGCCTACGTATCGAAAAAGTAACAAGAGTTGCTCGAATGAAAGAATGGCCTCACAGTAGTAAAAGAGTCTTTTAACAATAAGTATCCGAGGTGATGAAAAAGAACCTTATCGAAATTCTATTTCTATTAAAGAACCCCTATTTCATCCATCCATCGCCACGAGGACACTTTTCATCACGATAAACTTCCCGACGAAAACGACAGAAAAATACCTTTAGGGGGTGGTGATAAAGAAAGAAAAATATTCCCTTCCTCGTGGAAAAATTTCGAAACGAAAACGTCGTCTCCGGAAGGGAGGTGACGCGAGCCCGGGATACCCGGCCCTACCGGAAGTGCCGCGAGATAGGGAGGAAATTAAAAAAAACAAAAAACAGAAAGTCTTAGAATTTTTCTACCCGAATCCATCCCCTCCTCACCCATCAGACCATGATTGAGGAGAGAGAGAGAGTAACATCAGTGTGAGACACTTTAAAAAAAAAGGATAGATTCTCCATAGCTTTTTAAAATTTCCCCAAGGAACGAAAGGTATTTAACAAACGAAAGAGTAATAATAATAATAATAAATATAACCTTCTCTTCCATTCGATTCGAACGCGTGCCTTTTTTCCCCCTTTATTATTACCGTGGGATTGTCTCGAGTATTCCTATGTATCGAAAAGTAATAAGCTTGCTGGAATTCTAACGATAAGATTCGGAGAGCCTCACAGTAGTAAAAGTTCGCTGCCTATTCCATTTCCAGCTGGGTGCCGCGATATCCGGGATACCCCACCCACTACCCCACTCGAGGTGACACGCGCATTTCATTTGTAGCGTTCTCGAAAGAGAGAAAAAGTAAATAGACATGCGCACACGCACTCTCGAATCCATAATCCGATCCATCTTCCTACCGGAAGCGACTCTATTTAAAAAAGTTCCATTCTTACGAAATTCGAATTGAATTCCTATGAATCGAGGAATTCCTGCCCTCC